TTTAAAAAAATAATTAAAAATTAAAAAAAAAAAAAAACTACAGTGAAATATCATTTAAAACCCATCCGAAAAGCAAAAATTAGAAAGCCTGCCAATACCAAGTGTTGGCAAGGATGTGGGGCAACAAGAGGCCCTGAGCACTACTGGTGGGCATGTACCCATTTCGGTGAAGCTGAGGATGCGTGTGTGCTGTAACTATTTCTCCACACTTCCATTTCCAGGCACCGTCCACTCTCGCACGTGTGCGCAGAGACATGGAGAAAAACTTCCGTAACAGCAAGAAATAAAACTAACCAAAAAACTGGAAACGAAATATCCACCAACAGTAGAACTGATGAATAAGAGGTCTTCTATATATATCCAGGAAAACGCTATCCAGCAGTAAAAAAATGAATAAACTATGACTTTACGCAGCAACACAGAGGAATCTCAAAAGCAGTATCCAGTGAAGAGATCAAGTTGCACAAAAATACCTAAAGAATGATGTCCTACAAATCTACACAGACAGAAAGTAGATTAGTGATTGCCTGGGGCTGTGGGGGTTGGGAGGAAGTGGGGAGTGACAAGGTCCAGACTTTCTTTACAGGATGACAGAAAGGTTCTAAAACCGATTCTGGTGCTGGTTGAGCAACTCTGTGGCTAAGCCAAACGCCACTGAGCTGTACACTTTAAATCGGTGAGTTGAATGGTATGTGAAGAATGCCTCGAGAAGGCTGACAAAAAAAATAATGATGCCATAAAGTTCAAAGAGACGCAGAAATAAACAGCATATTATTTAGGGTCACATGCACCATCTAGTCAAATTATAAAGAAAAGCAAAGGACGAATCAACATGAAAATCAGGTTGAGGGTTGCCTCTAGGAATGAGACCGGAGGATATGGGCAGCTGATATGGGCTCCCAGGGGGGTTTCAGGGGCCCTAGTAAATCTCATTTCTTAAGCTCGGTGATGAGTGTCATAGTAACTTGTTATTATGTTTTATACTGAAAGATACATATATGTATACACACAACGTTTTAGTCATCCAAAAATGCCATAACCCCCCCAAAAAATTTAGTACCCCATTCCCCTTAAGTGTTTGTATGAAGTTACCTTAAATAAATAACTGAAATAAAATCATCTTCTAGAAAAACATTATTTGATCATTGGTACGTGAAAGTCAAAGTCTGTACATTTTTGGTAATAACCTGAACTCACAGACAATTTAAATGATTTTGCCTTTTTAAAAAAAGTCTAATATGTATTTTAATTAGGAAAATCCTACAGGCTTTACATGAACTATTCACAGTTGAAATAACACTTTCCTTTACACAGCTGTGCTGATTAGTACAGAAAATGTATCACGAAGACTGATCATACCTGTTTATCATTAATAGAGTGCTTTTCAATTTCTTTCTTTGCCTGCAGCAGCTTGTCCTAAAAGGAACAGAGCACAATTAGTTCTGGTGATTGTCTATTTGTCTGCTTGTTCGTTTAAATGGGGCAAGAAAGCAATTATTTGTGTAAGTATTTATTAAAGTCTAGAAAACACGCAAGACAGCACCTTTATTGCATCGCTATGGGCCACAGTCTATGAAAGAAAGAAGCTGTGAAGTTATGCTCGGCTATGATTAAGTGATAGCAAGGGTTTTCTGAAAGATAACAGAAAAATAAATGAACTGCAAAATCCCAGTTAACAGTACTAATTGCTGATGGGCACCATCTCACTGCTAATAAATGTTTTGATCTGACATTATGTAGTTGTGACATAAAACAAGAACCACCACATGGTCGTGCAATGCTTCCCAATGCTTCAGGGTTCGTGTGATTCCACTTCAAGAGTGCTTTCGTAAGAGACTGTCCAATATTTTCCTCCTCTCCCATAAAAGCAAATATAGTAAAAATCACCTTTTAGATAGATTGAGAAAACCTAATCCTGGCTACTTTCGAGAATAATCTTAAGACAAGCAAAGCCACCCTGTAACTGAGAGATTCTTCCAAGGTCTCAATTTTGTTTGCTTGACTCATTTTTCAAGAAGAGAGATATATCAGTTTACAGTTCTTAATTTGTTCTAAAAGTTGTAATTTAAAAACATCAGGACAGCTAGAGAAGAACAAAAAAGGAGGGGAATCTTTCGGAAAGACACGTGGGTGTTCCGAACGTGGATGTGTCTATAATAAAATAATATTCTATTAATAGACAAACACAACTTGCCTTGTCAAAATTGGAATAAACAATTATATTAGAAAATAAAGAATTTCTGGAAGCCAGAAGGCTCATCTACTCATTCACGTCTAGCAATGCAAGGACCCACAGAAAGAGCTTCTGAGCACCTGAAACTTGGGGCCACCCGTGGTTCCTTTTCACCTATCTTCTTTCAAATATCAGCACTGTTTAAATTTCACATAATGCCATTTTATTAAAGTTACGTTCTCTGGATACCTGGGTGGCTCAGTCACTTAAGCGTCTGCCTTAGGCTCAGGTCATGATCCTGGACCCCCGGGATCGAGTCCCGGATCGGGCTCCCTGCTCGGCAGGGAGTCTACTTCTCCCTCCGCCCCTCTGCCCCACTTGTGCTCTCTCCCTCACAAAAATAAATGAATAAAATCTTTAACTAAACAAAATAAAGTGACGTTTTCCTTCCCGTCAAGTGGCTTTGATGCCAAAGCGAATTCATTGTTAGAGATGTCAGGACACAAATGAGAGGAGGTAGCAATTCTGCCTTTCTTGATTTTAAGAAGAAATCATGAACATCAAAGCCTAATTCTGTGCCAATATTTAAACATTTCCCCCCGAGGCCCTCCATGGCAGCTGTGCACCCCCACCTGAGTGGTTGGTCACCCCACTGTTGCCCTCCTTTGGCATATGTGAATCCAAAGTCCCCAAGCAATGATGCCACGCTGGTGTTCCCATCCTTCCATCAACCCTGCCCTCATGTCTTCATTCTGCAACTCTGTTTTGAGCACCCGCTGGGAGCCAAGCATGACACCAGGCACGGAACAGTGCCAGGTGGCCCATAACACAGGCATGGTGGCCTCCCCCCACCAACCCCACCTCCCTGGAGCCAGAGGACTCCACAACTGTTCGTGTGAATCCAGTGTCATTGCTTTAGCTGTGGAAACAACTTTGTCAAGAATAACAGACCCTGCGGCGGCGGGGGGGGGGGCACAAAAAGAAAAGAAAAACAGACTTTGTTGACTTGACACAGAAAAACACTGTTTTGCTACAGTGCTGGGGAGGAGCAAGATTTCCCTGTGGAGTCTGGGTTTCATTAGAGATGTGCATCATCTCGATAATAAGCAAATTACAGACAGACACCTGCACGCCTTTCAGGACTCGGCTATCAGCTCGGCCATCGGCTCTGCCTTCTCCTGTGGGCAGGTGGACGCCCTCCCTGGCTCCCTGCGGCCTCTCCCATCTCCACCCGCAGTGCCTCTGATGTTGCCTAACAGCTGTCGAAACTAAATAAATATTTGTGGAACTGGCCTGACTTCAACCAAGAAGTCTTTGCCCCGAATATGAGAAATAACCAGTCGTCCAAAAATCACACCTGGAACCAGAGATACGAGCCATTTCTCGCACAGGTTCCCGAATCCCAGGACACGCACACCGCCTCTCTGGCTAATCCAAAGCCGAGTAAGGGAGTAACAACACACCCAGAAGACTTACCTCATTTCGTGCCACCAGAGTTATAAACGCTCCTTGTTTATAGCACTCGATAGCAATACACTTTCCAATGCCACTAGAGCCTCCTGTAACCTAAAAGCAAAAATAATAAAATCTTCTTAGCTCTTGAAATTGCCCTGCTGTGGGAAGTTTATTTCACACGACTATGATGAGCTCTAAAACCCAATCTACAAGAACCAGATTTTTAGCTATTGTAGTTTCTTCGTCCCAGACTTAACGAAGGAAGTGCAGACATGAAAGATGTTACTGTCAGCGGGTCCTGCTGCCGATTGTTTTCGGTACTGAACTATAAACTGCACACCTATATTTTTCTGCATTCACTGGAAGGAAAGTGCCCTATAAATTGAGCTAATAAATAATACATTAGTCTACCTCTGGTTCCAAATTCAAATGAATCTTATTTCCTTACTGCATATCTCTTATATGACTCTCTCCACAAGAGATGCAAAGAAGAGCTACCTGCACAGATCTTCTAATATTTTACATGACTGCTTATTATAAAAGAAATACATGATCACATGGAAATATTAAAAGGCAAAGTTTTCCTTCTTGTACTATTCTGCCCCTCACAATCTAGCTCAGCCCTACTGGCTGTCTTTGAGTTCCACGCTCCCTCCAATCACAGGGCCTTTGCACATTCTATTTCCCTGCCAGAAATGCTCTTCTCCCCTCTTTTCATCCAGCTGGCACCCATTCACCCATTAAATCTCAGCTCAGGGGCACCTGGGTGGCTAGGTCAGTTAAGCATCTAACTGTTGGTTTCAGCTCAGGTCATGATCTCATGGGTTGTGGGATCCAGCCCTGCTTTGCCAGGCTCCGTGCTCAGCGGGGAGTCTGCTTGAGATTCTCTCCCTCTGCCCGTCCCCGCCCCCCAAATAAATAAATCTTAAAAAAATCAATAAACCTCAGCTCAAACATCACTTCCTCAGGAAAACCTTCACTGACTGCCCCTTCCCTAACCTCAACCCACTTTTCAGCACCGCATCCTTTTTCCTTTACTTTATGGCACTCACATATTCAAACGGCCATGCATTTATTTGTGTGATTATTTGATTCACGACCATCTCTCCTATCACTGCCTCACACATGCCATAAAAATACCAACTCCATTTCTGCTCCCACTACATTCCTAGCACTCAGCACAATGCCTGCATATAGGAAGGACTCAATAGATACTTAACTTCGTAAGGCAATATTATCTTTTCAGTCATTTTTCCTATGCAAATTATATAATATGGGGCAAGAGAGTGGAGGCTCAGGGTTGTCAGGTGAAGGAAGTGGGGAAATATCAGAGAGGCATCTGACCTTACATGGTATCATATCCTACTTTAAAAAAACATGTATCTGGACGCCTGGGTGGCTCAGTTGGTTGGGTGTCTGCCTTCAGCTCAGGTGATGATCCCAGGGGCCTGGGATCAAGTCCCACATTGGGCTCCTTGCTCAGTGGGGAGCTTGCTTCTCCCTCTGCCTGCTCCCCCTGCTTGTGTGTTCTCTCTCTGACAAATAAATAAATAAAATCTTTAAAAAAATAGAATAGGATAAAAAATACGTATCAAAATATGTCAAAAAACTAAAAGGCTTCACTATATTACATTAAGGAGCTGTATTAAAACTTAGTTGACAATTTCCCTGTAACAGACATTAGGATTATTTCAAATATTTTACTGTTAGATATAAATCATGCTGTAGTGAACATCCTTGACCCCATCTCAATGATTTTAAAATTATCATAAAGCCACTCCTATACAATGTACCAATCTCCATGGATGCTTAGGCTCCCCTAGTTTTCTTTAGCCCCAAGTCCTCACCATTGAAGAGATTTCCTTGGCAGATAATTAACCAATTATCTCCAGAAGGTTACTGTAAAAATCTACCTGCTGCCCCAGCTAACAGATGCCTCTGAGGAGCTCTTTGCTGCTGAGATATTTCACGGGTGGCCTTGGCTTTTTAATTCTCACCAGCCATTCCAATTCCATAGTAATTAACAGGCCCCTGGCCATCGTATGATGGTGTTGCTACTGCCTCGATGTCCCTCCACCCAACATCCCCTGCATACCTACCTATCCAAATCCTACCTAGCCTGCAGAGGCCAGATCCAAAGTCCCCTCCTCCAGGAAGCTTTCCTGACTCTTGTCACTCAGTCCTGTCCTTTGCCTATCACTTTCCACTCTGTGTACACGTCTTAGCTCCCTGACCAGACCGCAAGCTCCTTGAGGACGAGCACCAAGTCCAATTTATCTCCCCCACTCTGAGCACAGAACCTGGCATAAGCAGTTGCTAAATAAGTACTCAGCCTACATTAATTTGCAGAAATGGTGCATGGTTCCATTTCTCTGAAAAATACGATGCCAAAAAAAATTGGAAGTAGTCTCCCTATTTGTTATTCAATAAATCAATGGAAGTTGAAGTTATGAGGTTACTGATTAAACGTACATGCTCTAAAGTGCTATTGCTGTGATTGCTGTCCTTTTTCTAGACTGTGACAGGTAAGCTAGCACAGCCAAGAGACCGTTCAACCTGATCACTTCTAAGTTTATTCCATAAGAGCAAGGGTTAAGACTTCAATCTTTCGGTCCTAGCTCGTGAGAAACTAACCTTCTAACGAAGCTAATGCTTAGAAGGTATCTAAGAATATACATCAGCCAAGTCTAGGCTGTGTTATTCTGAATGGTAGAACAACATGGTGGAGATGGCTGAGAAAGTGGGAAATATGAATGGAGTTGCCTGACAATTGGTAAACTGGGCCCAGATGTGGGACACTAAAGATAACAGCCTAATTTCCTTTCCTTATCACTGCGTCTTAATGATTCAATGCAAAATATTATTTAAATGTTACTATCTCTTTCATCACATCATACACCTCTTTTTTTTTTTTAAGATTTTATTTATTTACGAAAGAGAGAATGAAAGAGAGAGAGCACATGAAAGGGGGGAGGGTCAGAAGGAGAAGCAGACTCCCTGCTGAGCAGGGAGCCCGATGCGGGACTCGATCCCCGGACTCCAGGATCATGACCTGAGCCGAAGGAAGTTGCTTAACCAACTGAGCCACCCAGGCGCCCACATCATACCCCTCTTATTGAGGGCAAGAGACAGGGTGGTTTGTGGCAAGAACTGCTTCCAGTCATCTCCAAAAAGGAAGGACCTGATTTTCCAGTTCTCCCCAAGTCGATTAAACAGGTTTTAAACCTAAGTACAGATCCTGTAATACTTGTGCTGCTTTATCACTGTCATTAGGGAGATAACAGTAGTGTATGCGAACTGTTCTAAATAGAAAGCAATAAATAATTGTGACCTAAGTCTGTTCATGCTTTCACATAAGCAGACATTCTAAATGTTAGCTCCCTCTCCTAACACCACCTGGTCCGGTCCTAACAAATCTCAAGAAAAAGAATGGTGCTTTCCCTCATCTTGTGACATTAAAAAAGAAGACAGATGGTGACATCATGTGAATTATTCATGTCATCCTCACATTATTTATAGTGGCGTATTTTTTTTTTTTTTAAAGATTTTATTTATTTATTTGAGAGAGAGAGAATGAGAGACAGAGAGCATGAGAGGGAGGAGGGTCAGAGGGAGAAGCAGACTCCCTGCCGAGCAGGGAGCCCGATGCGGGACTCGATCCAGGGACTCCAGGATCATGACCTGAGCCGAAGGCAGTCGCTTAACCAACTGAGCCACCCAGGCGCCCTATAGTGGCGTATTAAAATGGGATGGTGAAAATAAGAAATTTTCTTAGTTTACCCCAACAGACTGATTATCTTACTGGTGGCCTGCGGCACAATGAAGCTGGAACGACTGGAGTCAAGGTTAAGTGAAACTCCCTTATAAATACCCAATCGAAATGCTCATTCCTGCTTTTGGCTTTATGTTTCCTTCCAAGTTATGCTCTGCAAACGTAACTTCTGCAAGATTCCAACTTTTAAAGCCATGCTTCTGAGGCAGAAGTTCTCTTGGAGACGTGACACTTTCAGAATTTGGCCTCACTGTAAAGTTTGGCTTCTCTCGCTCCCTTCTGAAATGAATTTACACTAACCTCATCTACCTTGCACATCAGGAATAGCAGGAGTTGGAGACATACTAATATTTTTACAAAGGGCAAGGTAAAGAAAAATACATTTTCTCATTCACAAATGCTTGTCCAGATTTAAAGCCCACTAAAATAAACAACCAGCCCAGCCCAGACAGCTCGGTGGGGAGGCTCCACCTCAGCCGAGACACGCATATGTCACCTCCGGCAGGATTTGTGCTGCCCGCTTAGGAACCAACTCTCCTTATTCAATAACCTCCCACCTCGGGTGCCTCGGGGTTGTGAGATCCAAATAAGGAAACCGATGAGAAAGCCACAGCAAGTGGCGAAGTGCTGGGCGCAGGTGAGGAGGCATTCTCTCTCAGTGGAAGGAAGGTGCCGCCACCTGCAGAAAAGGGACACTAGCTTCCGGTAAGAAACGAACCAAACCCATCCGCACCTCCTTCATCCCTAATACACCAGCAGGTCGGTGAGCTCGTCCATCTGCCCCTGAAATGATGGCAGAGCTCGGCCCTGAAACAGCAATCAGCCGACCCCGGGCTGAGCTCCGACAGACCAGCAGTGTAGACCCGACAGAAGCGTCCCGACACCGCTCAGCCCAGGACCGCCAGCCCCCTGGGTTCGGGGCGGTTCCCCACCCCCCGCCCCCCGCCCCAGGTGAGTCACTTCCTGGATTCCTCTGGCAACTGCTCTTTCTGTCACTCGCACAGGCCGTCGGCCCGGTCCGAGCTGCCTCGGGGGGTCCCGGCGGCTGGGACCCCTTCTCTGCCGCCCGCCTCCCCGCGACCCGGCCGGGACCGCGCGCCTCGCCCTGCGCGGCCACCGACCGCGGTGTCCTTGGCAAACTTTCTCAGCCTCTCCGCTCCTCAGTTGACTCATCGGAAAACCGAGCGCAAAAATATCCACATCCCACGGATGCCCCGGGGATTAACGAGCGGCTCCCGAGCCACCGGGCGCCCCGGGACCCCGCTCTCCGGCCCCGGCGAGGGCCAGCTGCGGCGGAGGACGGGTCCCCGCGGCCCCCCGCAGGGACG